CTACGGTAATAGTAAAGCGACGAGAGGCAATATATTCGGATGGTTTAATCTCCCTAACCGTCTCATATGCTCATGAAACTCATCTCTTCCGACATTGTTCATATGTTTATACCTCTTCACAACCAATGTTTGTCCACTAGATATCGCGGCTTTGTATGAAGCACCAAATGTTCCACTACCAAGAACTTCAGCTGAAGCTCTCAAAAGATCTTGAAGACCGAATCTTTGAATGTCGTCTCGTACAAATAGAAGCCTTCCTCCTGGATCAGGCATTGATCCTCTCCTTGTGTGATTCACAACGGATTCCGCGGGTTTATTGTTCTTGCTTGCGGATTGATGATAATTATAGCTCTCTATCCTTTCTTTTCCAGCTGAAGGATAAGCTGACAAGAAATTTCGTCTTCTTGTTTGAACGAAAAAGAACACAAGCGCGATGATCACTAGTATTATGCCAATAACAATCAAAATGATTGCTAGAGTGTAAAAAGATCCGGTCTTTTTCCCCGTGGAAGGAGAAGTAGATTTTGGATCAACAGGAGATACCGGAACAACAGGAACTCCCGGAGAGGAAGGGGAACATGGACTTAAGGGAGCATCACACAAATCTTTGTTACCTACAATTTACAAAACACAAAAAATTCATGTCATGAAAAATGCATCAAACTCTTGAAAGGTTTATGCAAATTTTAGATGACAATTTGATTCTAAAAGCATTATATGAAAATGTTAATGTGTAGAACATTGTTATTGTTACCTGCAAAAGAGCCTGGATCCATGTTTCGAAGGCTTTCGGGTATCGGTCCATCAAGATCATTGTTTTCAAAGCTAGCTAGTTTAAGATCCTTTTGTTGAAAAGATGGTATTTGCCCTTGAAATTGATTACCATTTAGCCTCAACTCTAAAAGCATTGGCAATGAGGCTAGAGAAGAAGGAATTGTTCCTCGGAACGCGTTATTGGCCAACAAAATTTTCTTCAAAAGTGGCATACCTCGAAATGCATCCGCGGGTATCTCCCCCGAAAACCGGTTATTAGACAAATACAAAGATTTCAGCGAAGTAAACCTCTTAACTTGAGGCATTGGGCCATTGAAGTTATTGTTCATGAAGCTTATGGTTCGCAGATTCTTCATAGGAACCAATGGGTCGAGGTTTAATTTCCCAGTCAAACCCATTCCCTCGAGTTGTAATCCCCAAACGTAATTGCTACAAAGAACACCAAACCAATTTGCTGTGTTTCCTTGACATGGTGATGTTAATGGATCCCAACTAGTAAATTCTGAACCATTTGCTAATGTATCTTTGAATCTCAAGAGACAATCTGCATCTGAATCCGGCACAACCACCTGAGACATTGCGACCGGACATAACACGCTGATAAAGATGATGAGAAAAATGCAAGAAGGTAGATTCTTCTTCAACGCCGTGTTACACGCAAGCGTAAACGGGTTCTCCCAATTTCGCATTGCGGTTACACGCGCAATGGAATCGATTCGATCTGTGAAATCTCTTGTTTTTTTCTTTTGTTTTTTTTTTTGTCTTTCGTGATCGCCAAGAAAATTGTGTGAACGGAAGAGAGAAGAACAAAACCTACCAAGAATAGACAAAGCAAAGTATATAAATTGGCAAAATTGTGATTTTAATTTTTTTGGATTTGTGTCATCTTAAGATTATTATTAGGTGAGAGAGATCTTTGGATAACCATTCAATTATCTTGTTTTAACTTATAAGTTATATATACATGTAATCTTTGTTGTTCTGATTTGTCATTTGCTTTTGTTCCAAACAAAGTTTTTTTTTGTCTCTATATGAGACTTAATTTTGGTATAACTTTTTTTTTTTTTTTTTTTTTTGGGCAAAAAATTTTGGTATAACTAATTTTAAGAATTAGGCATAAATTGGTAGATTATTCTATATGATGATGATAATATCTTAACCAATTAAACAAGTAATGTGATATGTAGAGTTTTAGAGGTTTCTGTTTTATCTCCAGTTTTAGAGGTTTCTGTTTTATTTGAAATTTAGCTTTGTCTGATCATAATATGTTTGTTACATGAATAAAAACTCTGCAGCATGAATTTTTTTTTCTCTTCATAGTTTCCTTTTTTGTCAACATGTTCTATATGGACAATTTTGGTCAGTCAAACCAGGAGTAAAAATTAGTAGTCTCCTAGAGATAGATCTACTAAAGAACTTTTTTTCTTTTCAAAAGTCTAGTAATGAAATTATAAATGATGACTTTTTGTAATTCCTTTTTTGAAATTCTGTGACTGCGCACGATTAAGAGTTGATATTTTCCGACAGTGTTATACTCGAGGAAAGACATAAAAAAACAAAGACATAACAAAATGAAATGTAAAAAATGGGAGGTCAAAAAGTTGAATTCTGAAATTGTTATTCGAAAGAACGCGGAATTGGGTCAAAGAGCTTTAAAGTGATGGTGGGCCGATTCAGCTGGTCGGCATGAAATCTTAACGTGTGAACCATCCAAGTACACATTTCTGCTGCTTCTGCAGCGTCCATACACTAATTTTTGTTCGTGCTGGAAATCTTCTAAAAGTGGATATTTGATAAAAGGTGTTTTTTCTAGTCTACTAATGTTTCAATCCAATCCCTTGTACTAGTTATCAAAGTAGTGTATTTATGGGAATTCTAAGCTGAGATGCTACTACTGAAATCATGTGTATATATTCGTAGGCTTTGTTTAAGTCTAAAGATTTGAATTACCATAAATAGTATGATTACTACAACAGTACAATGGATTGGATGAAACATTAGTAGACTATCCATTTCAGTTGTAATGTTTTCATATAAATTACTCTGGGTATTCCTTATACATATTGTTTATTATTTTTTAAAAAATATAGTGTATTATTCCCTATGTATCATTGTAAGTGATGTATATGTTTTCTACACGCAAATTAAAAAAATCCCTATGTATCATTGTAAGTGATGTATATGTTTTCTACACGCAAATTAAAAAAAAACACAAAATATTCATTTAATTTATCTCTTTTACATAAAAACATCAATAAGTAAACTGAATTCAACCAATAAAAAAACATAATATAAAATATAATTGGCCAAAATTTTTTTAAGACATTTAATTTTTGCATAGAAAATTAAAACGTCAGTTGAAACAAAAGAATATTTTTAAAACATCACTTTAAGAGTTTAAGTGATACAGAAAGAGTACACGATAATGTCTCACGCTATATGTAGACGACTTAAATATTAGTTTAAACTAAATACCAAATACATTTAAAGTGTCATTTCATTATTATTGAAGATTTTGATTATTTTTCGGTTTTGGTATTTTGGGTTTGAAGATTTTTGGTATATGAAAATAATAATATTCAAATTAAAACATCATTTGATTTGGATCACTTGGTATGGTTTTAGTTCGTATTCAAGTTTCAACCACACATATATATATATATATATATATTTTTTTTTTCCAAATAATTTTGGTTTTAGATTAGTGGTTGGAAAAAAAAA